CTGAGGGTGGGAGCTGATTCCCTGCACCCACGAGCAGGGCTGGCGCTGGCATCCCCAGCTCCCTTTGGCAGGGCTTTGGTGCCCCACAGGATGCCGGCCCCGTGCAGATGTTGTCCTCGCTATACATCACGCTGGCTATTTCCAGCTCCCCTGCTAGGAGACCAGCCCGTGTTTATCCTGGTGATTTGGCAGAGTTGCTGCGGCACAGATGAGTCAGGAGCTGGGAGAAGCTGCTTCGCCACATTCCCATTGCCCCACCACCGAGGTTTTCCAAGCCCGCCCCTCCTCGTGCTGTCCCTGCTGCTTGTTCCTGTGGGGCCCTGGGCCCTGGGATCCTGTGGGGCCCTGGGATGGGGGAACAATCCTTGGTGGACCAACAATGCCTGGTATAGGACAGCAATCCCTGCAGTAGGACAGTGATCCCTGGGATTCATACAGTGATCCTGGGGCCAATCCCTGGCACTGAAGGCAGTGCCATGAGGAGCAACCAGCTCAAGGTGGGGCAGGACAGGTTTTCTGGGCCCCTCCCAGCAGTGACAGACCTCCGAGGGCACACAGTGCCTCTTCCACCCTGATCTCCCAAGCTGTAAACCTGTCAAGAGCCTTTCCTGGGATAGCATTCTCAATCCTGCAGTGGTGTGGTGTGGCCAGGAGCAGGTGGACATGGGCCTTGGCAGCCAGGTGGGACCCAAACCTGCAGTCCCGGGGGATTTGCAACTGTGTGTAAAGATTTATGGATGGGGCATGAGCCGGCGAGTTCCCCGAGCTGGCACATCCTCCAGGGTGGGGCAGCTGCGATTTGGAGCAGGGAAGGAGGGAAATGCCTGCACCTTCACTGGCTCCAGCCCATCCATTTGTCCCCTTCCAGCGTGTGGAGCCTGCTGCTGCCCAAGCTTCAGCAACACTCACAGGGATTTAATAGTGGAGGGTGGAAACCAAAGGGCGTTTCCTAAAATCGCGTGGAGTGGGCTCTGGCGTCTCGGAGAGGGTTGGCGTCTCTCCAGCAGCCTGGTGGGCTTGTGCCTGAGGCTGCTTCAACGAGCTCTGGTGACTCTGTCCCGTCTTGACTTTTCCAGAGGGGGAGCCCAAACCTGCCAGGTTTCCGGGCTGGGATTTTGGGGCAGAGTCGGGGCAAGCAGTAGCAGATCCTGCCCTGTGGGGCTGTCCCCGAGCCCTCTCTGAATCTGCCGCGTTGACTTCGCAGCCTCGTGTCTGTCAGTGCTGAGCGCAGCCAGAGCAGATCCAACTTTCCATTAACATTTGGATTTTCTGGCAGCTCAGCTGCAATTTTCATTCTTTTTTTTTTTTTCCTCCTTCCTGCTTTTAAAAGCTAAAAATAAAACGTCTTGAGGCCCCTTTTCCCTCCATCTTTTTCTCTTGAGACGTTTGTTTCTTGAGGATTTGATGCTTCTGTTGTGTTTTCTCCTCATGGATTGTTTTTACCCACGGCTGTCCCAGCACAGGGGATCAAATCCTGTGGGACACTGAGCTCACGTCCCCTGCCTGCAGGCAGCCAGCCCTCTGGGGTGGCTCTCTGCTTCCCTTTTCCCTGGGGGATTTGGGATCACAGGATCCCAAGGCTCTAGCAGGCAGGATGGGGAAGCCAGTGGAACTCTCTGGGAGCAGGAGGAAGGTCTGGCTTTGTCCCCTTCTCCGGGGGAGTGGGAGCGACGCAGCTGCCATGGAAGTTTTTATTTTTAGCTGAGTGCCAGCTGGAGCCTGGGAGGTTGCTGGGGAATAAAAGCAGGACCTGAGGGGAGGAGAAGGGAAAACTCAGAGCCCTGGCTGGGCTGGGGATCGACAGGGCTGGCATGGAGCAGTGGGCACTGGGGTCCCTGGCACCAGAGAGGAGTCACCTGTGGGCTGACAGCTCATCTGGAAGCTGCTGCCACGTTCAGGGTCGTGGTGTGTTTGGAAGAACACAGGGGGAGGTGCTCAGGTCTCGGGGAGCCGAGTCACACAGACCACTGGACCTGCTGGAGCAGAGGACAGGACAGGATTCCTCTCACCCCTCTCCCTCCTGCAGATCTGCCCCCAGGCTCAGCCCCACGGCAGTGAGCTCCGAGCTCCTGGCCCTGCTCCTCATGCTGGAACCCAGAGCTGAGCATGGGAGGCTTCCAAGGCAAAGGGATTTGTCCTTGAGTCATGTGGGATTTACCACGGGGCTTTCCAAGCATCAATGCCCAGAGCCCTGAGTCCCCCTGGTCCCTGGAGAGGGACAATCTGATGGAGACACGAGTGTAACTATCAGCATTTCCCCCTCTGTTCGTCACTTATCAATGAAACTGCTGTCCCTGAAAGCGCTGGAGGATTCAGGACGCTCCAGAGCCCCGTCCTGAAGAGCCGCTGCCCCCTGGCTGTCCCCAAACCCCCACAGCCAACACGGCGAGCAAAGAGCTGCAGCAGCAAAACGCCCGGGACGAGCCTTTCCTGGAGTCCCGGGGAAGTTCACCCCGTCAGGGACGGCAGGATTGGACCCCCCTGGCAGTGCCGGGGTGGCCACGCTGGCTGTGGGGACGAGTCACGGCCACGCGGGAACACTGGAACTCTAACCCTGGTTGCAGTGAGCCTGGGAGCTGCTCCCGGCTGGCATTCCTGTCCTGTGAGTCACTGGCATGAAGGGAGTGGGTTGTGCAGGAAGGACCCGGCGCGGAGCTCCGGCGGCAGCGCCGGCAAGTGGGACCGTAGTTCTCTGGAAAAAAAAGGGGACCAGCACCATTTCTTGGTCAGTTATTCCACTGCAGGCTAAATTCCAAATTCTCAGGATTGCTTAAATGCTATTTAGGCACCAACAAGGGTATTTTATGGAATTCATGGACTGTGAAATCATACTCTGTGCACACCGAGACCCTCTTACCTGAGAGCCCCAAACACTGAAAGTATGATACGAAAATCCGACCACAAAAAACGTCATATAATTTATCACAGATCCGACATGTTACACTGAGCCCTTTGCACCACAACAGGGAGTGTTCTGGGCTGGGAAAGGAACTTTCAGAAATGGAAACAAAGGCAGAAGATGGTTCTTCACACACTTCCAAGAAAAAGTCTGCAAGCTGCTCCTGGATTCCCAGAGGCTCTTGGGTTCTGCTTTTCCTGACAGCAGCACTTTAGGTGGTTTTGAATTTTGTTACTGTACATGTAGGAATAGTGATTTTTTTAAACTGTTCTTCCTCAAGCTGAATTCCTGCTCTTTTAACATAGAATTCATCCTGGGATACAAAGTGGGGTTTCTGCTTAAAAACAGTAGCCTGGGATTTTGAAACCCTTGGTTTAGTCTGCAAAATAACAGAGTAACTTTTCCGTGCTGGCTCGGATCAGGAAACAGAAAGAAATGCTGGAAAATCTGCTGTTGGCCAAGCCAGGATCTTCCCACATCCCTGCGAGTCGGAGAATGCCATCCCTGCTGGTGCTGGGGTCCCATTGCTGGTGGTCCTGAGGTCCCATGGGTGGACTGGACCTGCCCTGGGATGGGCTGAGTGCCGCCTCCCCGCTCCCTGGTATTTGTGACCCGTGATCTCATGGCATGGGTGTGCACTCCCTGCCCCAGGAATGTGCCCCGGGGCTGGCGAGCAGCCAGCGCTTGGCCAGGGCTCACCCACAGCCAGGGGCTCCACCGCTGGTGCCCGGGGTGCTTCCCACCTCCCCCTGTGCCACAGCCCATTCTGAGGGAGGTGGGATGACAATCCCACTCTGGGGTTGGTGGCTGCTGGGGGCCGTCTGGGTCTTGTCTTTTTATAGGACCTACCAGAATAGCACCAGGCTGCATTTTAGTAGTACAGTCAGATCAGGTTCCCTGGTCACACAGCGGGGAATGGCCTTGGCCTGCTCTCAGAGGGCTGGAAAAGCAAGGGAGGCAGTGGGAGCCAGGATGGTGCAGGAGTCTGGAGGGTGATGTTGGAGGTCAGGAGGCCCATCCACAGCCCTGTGCTGGGCGGCTGAGGTGCCACAGCTCTGCACCACCCAGTGACAGCTGAGCTCATGGTGAGCTCTGGCCACCCCAGGGCAACCCCTGGCCCCTGTTTATCATCCAGTGCCCCCCACCTGCTCCAGGAGAGGCACCAGGCTCCTGGCACTGCCAGGGTGCCACTGGCCCCTCTGCCTGCTCTCCTGGGTAGGGCAGTGCTGGCTGCAGGGCATCCCCAGCTCCTCCCCTGTGCCATCCAGCCCTGTGTCACATGATGCCACACCACGCTGTGCCACACATGACGGCATCATGTGCTCTGCCACACCACAGCACGCTGCACCATGTCACACTATGCCCCACTGTGTCCCACCACGGCGTGCTCCAGTGTCCCCACCACCCTGTGACACTGTGCGTGTCACACGTGGGGACTGAGACACCTCCTGGTCCCCCAGTCCTCCCCAGCCCGTCCTGCTCTCCAGTATCCACACTGGGGCTGGATGGCTGGGGCCTGCTGGTTTTAGGAGTGTTAGGGGTGATCCTGCAGCTCTTTGGGGGGTCATCAGAGGGCTGTGGATGTGATTCTTTGTGTGCTTGAGTTGCAGTTCAGGGGGGAGTTTCTGAGAGCAGCCCTGAGGGGAAGGATTTGGAGGTGTTGGTGGATGAGAAGTTTGACGTGACCTTAGAGCGCCTTCCAGTACCTAAAGGGCCTTTAAAAACTGGAGAAGGACTTTGGACAAGGGACTGGAGTGCCAGGACAAGGGGGAATGGCTTCCCACTGCCAGAGGGCAGGGTTAGATGGGATCTTGGGAAGAAATTCTTGCCTGTGAGGGTGGGAAGGCCCTGGCACAGGTTGCCCAGAGAAGCTGTGGCTGCCCCATCCCTGGAAGTGTCCAAGGCCAGGCTGGATGGGGCTTTGAGCAACCTGGGCTAGTGGAAGGTATTCCTGCCATGACATGGCGAGGGTGGGGACTGGACGAAGTTCCAAGGTCCCTTTGAACCCAAACCATTCTATCATTTCCTGATTGACCAAATCCTTCTGCACCTCTGATTCTCCCTGCCATGCAGCTAACCCGTGCCATCCTTTGCCCTGCAGGAATGCCAAGAAGGAAGGGGACCTGCTCACTGCCCAGGCACGCCTCAAGGATGTGGAGGCTTTGCTTAATTCCAAGGAAGCTGCGCTCTCCACAGCCCTGGGCGAGAAGAGGAACCTGGAGACTGAAGTGCGCGATCTGAGGGGGCAGGTGGCCAAGGTGAGCAGTGGCAGCCCTGCCTCCAACTTCCCCAGAGACCCCTCTGTCCCCCCCTACCCGAGGGCTGCCGGGTCCCCGCTGTGCCAGGGGGGGCTGTGGGGCAGACGCAGTGGGGTGGTGGGTGCCCAGCCACGCCAGATGTTGGGATGTCCAGAGCCCACTGTGATGTCCCTTCTCAATTCCCCGCCAGCTGGAAAGTGCCTTGAACGAAGCCAAGAAGCAGCTGCAGGACGAGATGCTGCGCCGCGTGGACGCTGAGAACCGGCTGCAGACGCTGAAGGAGGAGCTGGAGTTCCAGAAGAACATCTACAGCGAGGTGAGCTGGGGTCACCTGGGAGAACCCCTGCTCCGCAGGGGCTGTGTCCCCCTCCTGAGGTGACACCGTGTCCCCTGACCTGCCCCCTCCCAGGAGCTGCGGGAGACCAAGCGCCGCCACGAGACGCGGCTGGTGGAGATCGACAACGGGCGGCAGCGGGAGTTTGAGAGCAAGCTCTCCGAGGCCCTGCAGGAGCTGCGGAGCCAGCACGAGGCCCAGATCAGGCTTTACAAGGATGAGCTGGAGAAGACCTACGGGGCCAAGGTGAGCAGCACCCCCCCCAACAGCACCCTACTATCCCCCCGGCCCCACAGAGCGCTGGGTGGGCAGCGGGTGCCGGGGATGCTGACCTCCCTGTGCTGTCCCCCAGCTGGAGAACGCCAAGCAGTCGGCTGAGAGGAACAGCAACATGGTGGGTGCTGCCCACGAGGAGCTGCAGCAGACCCGCATCCGCATCGACAACCTCTCCTCGGAAGTGAGCCAGCTGCAGAAGCAGGTGAGCAGGGGTTCCTCGGGATGTCTGCCCTGGAGATGGTCCTCTCCTGGGGGTGATCCCCTTCTGGGCGTGGTCCCCGGGTGGAGTGGCCACCCACACCTTCCCTCCCCACAGCTGGCCGCCAAGGAAGCGAAGCTGCATGATTTGGAGGATATTCTGGCCAGGGAACGCGAGACCAACCGGCGCCTGCTCTCGGATAAGGAGCGGGAGATGGCCGAGATGCGGGCGCGCATGCAGCAGCAGCTGGATGAGTACCAGGAGCTGCTGGACATCAAGCTGGCTCTGGATATGGAGATCAACGCCTACCGCAAGCTGCTGGAGGGCGAGGAGGAGCGGTGAGCTCGAGGCCCTGCACCCAGCTCTGGGCTACGCGGGTCCCAGCCCTCCTGTCCTCACTGATTCCATCTCCCCTTCTCCCCCTGCCAGGCTGAGGCTGTCCCCCAGCCCTTCCTCCCACAAAGGTGGGTCCCGAAGCCACTTGTCCACCTCGGGCTCCTCCAAGAAGCGGAAGCTGGAGGACAGTGAGAGCCGGACCAGCTTCTCCCACCACGCCCGGACCAGCGGCCGTGTCGGAGTGGAGGAGGTGGACTTGGAGGGCAAGTTTGTCCGTCTCAGGAACAAGTCCAATGAGGCGAGTTTCCTTCAGGGGGGATCCCTGGGGGCCCTGGGGTGAAGTTCAGCCCTGCTCCACGGGCAGGAGGTAAATGGGGCAAGCTGGGGAGGAACTGGGATTCTGAGGGTCTCTCTCTCTCTCTCTCTTGCAGGACCAGGCGATGGGGAACTGGCAGATCAAGAGGCAGAATGGGGATGATCCCCCCATCACCTACCGCTTCCCCCCCAAGTTCACTCTGAAGGCTGGTCAGGTGGTCACGGTGAGTCCCTGCCCAGTGGAGGATCCAGCCCTGCCAGGCCACTGGCGATGCAGAGCAGTTGGGGTGTTGCTTTTTGCAGTGACAGACCCGCCTTCCCCGGGCTCTGGGCTCTGCAGACCCGAGAGGTCACTTTTCCACCGCTTCTCTCCCCCAGATCTGGGCCTCGGGAGCTGGAGCGACCCACAGCCCCCCCAGCAACGTGGTGTGGAAAGCCCAGAGCAGCTGGGGCTCCGGGGACAGCCTGCGCACCGCCCTCATCAACTCCAACGGCGAGGTGAGAGCCCGTGGCAGGTCTGGGCTGGGGCACGGGGAGTCAACAGGCACCAAACCCCCCAACTGCCTTCCTGTCCCCCACAGGAGGTGGCCATGAGGAAGCTGGTCCGCACCGTGATCATCAACGATGATGAGGATGAGGATGATGACGAAATAAGCATCCACCACCGCCATCACCACGTGAGTAGGGCACTGGGGGTGCCAGTGATGCCAGGGGGGTTCAGGGGGGGTGCAGTTCTGGTCCCAGTCAGGGTGGGAGGCAGCTCAGCCTCACTCAGGGTCAGGCGTAGCAGGAAGTCTGCTGCGGAAACAACAACCTGAGAGAAGGCAACAGACCTCTGGCACCTGGAGGAGATCCCTGCTCGCCAAAGAAGGACTTCAGACCTGGCTGGAAGTTCTCCCCAACCCTGAGCAACCTTGACATGCCACAAAAAGCCTTGGAGGAGCCAGAGGGAGGCTGAGCTGGTACCCGGTGTCACCGGGAGGACGGGATGGACGGAAGTTGATGGATGACACTTCTTGGCAGCAGCTGCTCCATCCTCTCTGCTTCATGAGGGTGCTGGAACAAATCCAGAGGAGGCTTTGTCCTTCTTCTCAGCCCATCGTTCCCCTCACAGAGCTGAAATATACACCAGGAGGATCAGTGAGCAGAGCAGGCAGCAGGCAGAGGGAGCAGGCAGCAGGCAGAGGGAGCAGGCAGCAGGCAGAGTAGGCAGCATGCCAGGAACAGAACTGCAGCCACTTCTCCCAAAGAAACATCCCTGGCTGCAGCCCAGGAGCCCCCACCAGCCCATCCCACAGGATCTGTGTGTCCTGCACGGTAGATGCCCACAGGGATCAGGCGTGGAGAGGTGGCAAGAGATCTGCTGGATGCTGCCCCCGGGGCTCTGCAGGAGCGGGATGGGGAATCAATCATCCGCTTTGAGTTCTCTGGATCTGAAGAGCTGTGCTGCATCAGCGGGTTGAGCTGCTGGATTGTCCCACTCTGCTCTGCCCTTGTGAGACCCACCTGCAGTGCAGGGCCCAGTTCTTGGGCTCCCAACATAAGAAGGATGTGAAGCTGCTGGAGCAAGTCCAGAAGTAGCCGTGAAGATGCTCCGAGGGCTGGAGCCCCTCTGCTCTGGAACCAGGCTGGGAGAGCTGGGGATGTTCACCTGGAGAAGAGAAGGCTCTTCTGGCTGGGGAGACCTGAGAGCCCCTTCCAGTACCTAAAGGGGCTCCAAGAGAGCTGGAGAGGGACTTTGGACAAGGCAAAATGGCTCTCCACTGCCAGAGGACAGAATTAGATGGGATACTGGGAAGAAATTCTTCTCTATGAGGGTTTTGAGGCCCTGGCACAGGTTGCTCAGAGAAGCTGTGGCTACCCCACCCCTGCAAGTGTTCAAGGCCAGACTGGACAGGGCTTGGAGCAAACTGGTCTAGCGGGAGGTGTCCCTGCCCATGGCAAGGGGTGGCACGAGGTGATCTTTAAAGTCCTGTCCAACCCAAACCATTCCATGATTCAGTGATTCTCTTCTACATTGATTATCCCTGGGCAGAGGAGCCAAGCTCCTGCAGCCAGTGCTGCCCTTTCATCTGAAGGCTGAATCTTTTCCAAGAGCAAGTTTCGCCTTGGGCAGCCTCCAGCTCACGAGGCGGCGAAGAAGAGGATGCTTTCAGAGGAGCACAGTTCAGGTGTGCAGGGCAGGTCACCCACTGGCATCACACCAGCCTCAGTCACGTGGGATTAGAAACACAAAAACAACAATTCTGGTTTATTGCTTTTAAACCACACAATGGAGAGGGTGGGCGAGCGCAGACCCTCTTTTAACGTGAAGAGGTCCCTGGGGTTACCCCACCATCCTCGGTGCAGGGGTCCAGCGCAGAGGATACTTGGGCAGGGGCTCACGGTCGTTCTGTCTGTCCCCCCCTCACGTCTAGGGGAGCTGCAGCGGCTCTGGGGACCCCGGTGAATACAACCTGCGCTCCCGCACCGTGGTGTGCGGCACGTGCGGCCAGCCGGCCGACAAGTCGGGCACCCAGAACGCCGGCGTCAACACCATGTCCTCGGGCTCCTCCACCTCCAGCGTGACCGTCACCCGCAGCTACCGCAGCATGGGCGACTCCGGCATCGGCCTCGGGGACAGCCTGGTGACCAGGAACTACCTCCTGGGGAGCTCCAGTCCCCGCAGGCAGGTCAGTGCCACTCCCAGCCCCCGGGGCAGGGCTGGCCCAGCGCTGTCCATTCTCAACGGGGCAGCACTGGAGGGGTCTCATCACCTCCCTCCTGTCCTTCTCCCTGCTTTTGCTCTTGGCCTCACACCAGCCTCTTAGTAAGGGATTGGAGATTCTGAGAAGGATTGGAAAGGGATGTGGCCATAGCGGCTCCCCATCATCCCACCCCGTCCCGTCCCATCCCATCCCATCCCATCCCATCCCATCCCATCCCGTCCCACCCCACACTCGGCCCCCTTGGCACCCCAGAGCATCCTCCATGTGCTCATTCCACCACTGCTGGGTGTTGTTCCTGCTGGTAACATGAGCATTTCAGCACTTGAACATACATTTTATATCTATATAATATTAGATTAAGATGCACTACATTCTGTATTAATACCCTCAGTCAATATTATACCCTCAGGTATCACCTACCAATAGTTCTCAGATTTCTGAGCTGTGAACACCCCGGCCTGGGGGGGTTATTTATTACACCCCAAGGCCCAGGGAGGAGGTGAGCCCTGGGCACACACTGTCCAGGCACTGTGGGCATGTGGAGGATCCCACTTGACACTCCACAGCCAGAGCAAACAGTGACACTGGGTTCTTCTTAACCCTCTTTTTTTTCCTTCTCCCTCGCAGGCTCAGGCTGTGCAGAACTGCAGCATCATGTAACCCCGTGGCGCATTCCTGTGGTTCCTGCCCATCTCCAGCTAGGTGATTTTTTTTTTTCCCAAAGCAAAAGAAAAGGTTTTTTTTCCCTTAAAAAAAAAAAAAAAGAAAAAAAATATATCAAAACCCAAGTTTGGGGGTTTTTGTTTTCTATAGCAGGAATTTTATATATATATATATATATATTAAAAGTGCTAAAAGATGCTTTGATTTTTTTTTTTTTTGTAAAGGAAAAATCTATTTCTATATAAAAAAAAATCCAAACCAAAAAAAAGCTTCTCAGCTTCACAATTTTTTTAAAACTTCAGCCAAAGACAGCGAGAAGTCATGTTTACTGAGCAGCCATGCAGGAGGAGATCATAGCTGAAACGCTCTTTAGATTGTACCTTTTTTGCCAAAGCTTTTTACATAGGACTGGGAGAAGCGCAGCCATCCCCACCGGGGCTGCTGTCCTCCTGTCTCGAGTGGAGCACAGTGCCTTTACAACCCTTTTACTTGGGATCCGAAGCCAAAATGCCCCTTTTTTTTTTTCTTTTTTCTTTTTTTTTCTTTTTTTTTTCTTTTTTGGAGTTGTGATTCCTGGTGGTGCTGGCGTGGGGGCTCCTGGCAGCTTGCAGGCAATGCCCACGTCCGTCCGTGGCCATTGCCCCCTCCCCAGCCCCCTGCCCGCCTGCACTCCCAGTGCTCCACGTACTGTATCCCCCATATTCCCCATCCCAGGCACGTCGTGCCCTTTGGGTTCCCTCTCTGATTTTTTAAGCAGCCAAGTTGTGCCTTAGCCAAGGCGGGGGCCAGGCTGGGAGCGCCGCTGGGCCCCGCACGGCATCGAGTGGAGATGGAGTAGGGGAAGTGAAAACCCCCCGGAGCCACACCCCGGGACCAGGTGGATTTGGCAGCTGGGGTGACAGACCTCGCTCCTGCAGGCTCAGCACCAGCAGGGCCCTCCAGGTCCTCCCTCCCTTTTGGGGGCCACTGCATCGAACGGGGTTCACCCCAGTTTTTCTCGGCTGTGCTTAGTCGGGCTCGGCTCCGGTGGCCGGAGCTCGGGAACCGTTTCGGGGGTGAGGTGAAGGATGCTCAGTCCAGGCAGGGCTGGTTTGCCGGGAAGGCACCAAGGAAGATGTTTTGTTTGAGCGAGGGGGGATTTTGGGATCTGGCAGGAGCAGCTTCCCCCTCTGCAAAGGTCCATCCAGCCATTGACAGAGATCTTGGCTTCTTGCCTTGATTGAGGAATGCCTGCAGCCCCCCCAGCCTCGAGTGCAGGGGAGGGCAGGATCAGGTCCCAGGACAAGCTCCCCGCTCCAGCAGGATCTGGCGAGGCCGTGTATTGTACCCATGCTTGCAAAGCTTCTGTATTACTGCCTGTATCTCCTTCCAAAGTCGAAATACAGCCAAACCCTTCCCACGCTGTGTGCTGTCATCATTGCTGTCCAGGGGGGAATTTGGAGGTGCTGCACGAGGATCCCCCCGGGACCTCTTTTAACCCCACAGCCAGGGCTGAGGCTCAGCAGGTGCTGTGGGTGGGGGGGGAAGCAGGGTGGCCCTGGCTTACCCAAGGGTGGGATGCTGAAATCTGGGGCAGCCCCAGGAGAGGGACAGGCGGGGAGGAGATGGAATTTGCGGTGAGGGCTCAGACCTTCCCTCCCTTGGGGTTTTGGGGACCAGGCATTTCTGAGAATGGGATGGCCTGGGCAGGGAACAGAACCTGAGAGAGCCCCTGACTGAGGGTTTGCTCCTACCGTGGGGATGACTCCCACACTCGGCCAAGGGGATCGATCCCCTTTGCCCCCCGGGCCGTGCCAGGCACCGGAGCGAGGCGGGAGGCGATGCCGGGGAGAAGGAGAGCCTTAAAGCCGGCCCTTAATCGGCTTTACCAGGCACAGCGCTGGGGAGCCGCGATGTGAGGGGACGCGGGCGGGCGGCCGGGGCGCAGGCACAGCCAGGTAGGTACCCGGGGGTGCCCGTCCCGGGGGCACCCCCTGCCCCGGCGCTCGGACATCTGGGTCACATCATCCCGGGTTTGGGTGCGGCAGGGCTGAGGCTCACAAGGGTAGGGGGTGCCAGGGGGGCTCTGGTGCATCGCTGACACCTCCCAGCTTCAGGTGGGCCTGTGGGGACACAGAGAGATGCCTGTCCCCTCCCAGGAGAGGGGTATGGCGAGTTCTCAGGGGCGAGTGCTCACAGGTTGGCCGGGGACACACTGACCCCCTGCCTGTGCCCCGCTGCCCCCCCCAGCTCTGCCAGCTCAGACATGCCCATGCCACGGCGCTGGAGCAGGTACCCCCACCATGCTGCAGCCCATCCCCTCCAGGGGGATCCATCCCAGCTCTGAGCCTGGCACTGCCAGGTCCCAAAAGTCATGAGGATGTGCCCAAAATAGCGGGTTCTGGAATGGCAGGGAGGAGCCCCACGGAGAAGCCGGGACCTCGTGCTGCTGCCTGGCCGTGCTGTCAGGAGGAGACAAGCCAGGAGACACAGGGAAGAGACATAGGGAACTGCCATGGGGAAATACAACAAGGAAATAATGTCCCAGGTCCTCCCTGTGCCCCCCATGGGACCCCAGTGTCCTGACACCCCCGGGCTGGGTCACACTGGGGAAGGGCTGGGCTGGAGACCTGTGGGGTCCCTGCACAGACCCTCAGGGACACTGCAGAGCCCCATGGGGATGATGCACACACTATGGGGAGCTTACAGAGCCCCGTGGGGACCATACACACCCCACAGGGACCTTGCACAGTCCTGTGGGGAGCGTGTACAGCCCACAGAGACCTCACACATCCCTACAGGGACTGTGACAGAGCCAGGGACAGAGCCAGTGACAGAGCCAGTGACAGAGACTGTGACAGAGCCTGTGACAGAGCCAGGGACAGAGCTCCAACCCCATTCCAGCAAAAAGCACTGAGTCAGTGTGGGGTTTCTCCTGCTCCTCCTGCTGTCCCGTGGGGCTGAGCCCTGCTCGGGGTTCCCCCAGAGTCTGTCAGGAGGCAGATGGGTGCCCAGAGCAGGAGCCATGGCCTGGCCTTGCTCACTTGTGCACTGAGTGTCAGAGTCTCTGCAGAGGGGCCCTGGGGTGCGTGGTTGGGTGGGAGCACCTGGGTTTGGGTACCCACTGAGGACCACCAGGGGTTTTTTTGGGGGGAAAGCCTAGCACAGGGAGCCTTGGAGCAATCACTAGGATGGGGCAGAGCTGGGAGTGACCCCAGTGTCTGGCAGCCACCAGTTTACCAGTTAACCAGTTTACCAGTTTACCACCCAGGCCATGGCTGAGCAAGTGCTGGGGGCCCTGCCAGCCCCACGCCGGCCCCTCCAGCCCCTGCGTACCCGGGGGGATTAAGGTCAGGCTGCCCCACTAATCCCAAAGGGGAGTTAAGATTTGAGCCTGTGCCCGCTGCCACCCCCTGAGGCTGCACCCCAAGGCGCTGCAAGTTGTGGGACCCCCACAGGGCACCCTGGGGGGGACCAGGGAGGGCTCGGGGCCTGTGGCTGAGCCGTGAGGTGGGAGGGGTCCCTCCAGCAGGCTCCAGATAAGCCTCCAGTGCCGGCAGGCACGAGGCACAAGCTCCTTACAGCTCCCTGGGAAAGGCTCCGACCTCCCGAACACCACGGGAAGCAGGGGAGCCACTGGGGGGGCACTTGGCTCTGCTCCCCAGCCCCGGCAGGGCAGGTACCCCCAGTGATGGGCCTGTTCCAGGCCTGCTGCTTTTGGGGGTGCTGGTTCTGCACCCCAGCCTGTGCAGAGACCGGCACCTCCCAGTGCCTCGAGTGTGGTTGTGCAGCGGGGACTGGGGGCAAAGTCACCTGCGGGGTCGTGCGGGGAAGGTGGGTGCAGAGGGGGGAAGTGGGGGCTGGGGGTCCCGTTTTGGGGCTCAGGGCACCCCACTCTAACACTCCTGGGCAGGGGAAGGGGGCAAGTTCCAAAGGAGAAGTGGGATCTGCCGGCGCCAGCAGGGCCAGGCTTCCTGGAAAAGGAAGTTCCAAGGGGCAAAGTGTCATCATCTGTGGGTGCTGCGGGGAGGGGGGGGTGGGGGGGTGGTAAACACATGAGGCCTGGTGCCACCCCCTCCTGGGACACTCCAAAGGCAGGTAGTGCAGGAAACCAGAGCCAGCAGCACTTACCTGGGAATGGGGGGCTGAGATGGGTGGGTTTACAGGGGTGGGATGTGCTGGCATGAGGGGCAGAGATGGGGGCACAGGGATGGGGTGTGGATCTGGAGGTGTTGAGGTGGGGATGCAGGGACTTGTTGCCGATAGCAGAGAGCAAAAAAAAACTTCACTGGGGTGAAGGGCCCCAATGTGGTTACGGTGGCATGGGAGTGTGTCAGGAGGGGGGTTGGACGGGACACCTGTGGGGGCAGAGGGGAGTCCCTGCTCCTCTTTCGGTGGAGGTATCAGTGGTGCGTGTGGGGTGATGAGGGGAGGTGCCCACACGTGTGCCGTGGGCATCCACTCTGCCCACGCGGGGCCGGGGGTCCGTCTGTCGGGACGTGCGTCGCTCTGTCGGGGCGGGGCGGGCTCGAGCCGCGCAGCCCCGTGTCCGTCCGTCTGTCGGGGTGTCCGCCGGTCTGTCGGTGCGGGGGGGCCGCTGCCGGCCGAGGTGCTGCCGTAGCCATGGCGACGTGAGCCGGATGCGGGGCCGGGGGATGCTGCTCCCGCCCGCCCGCCGCAGGTCGGTACCTCCGCACCGGGACCGGGGCCAGGGGCGGCCGGGAGGCCCGAGGGTGGCCAGGGGGGGCTCCGCCGGGGCGGGGGGACGAGCGGGGCGGGGGCAGTCGCCATAAAGGGGCTGGGCTTTGGGGACCCCCAGGGTTGGTGCTGCCAGACGGCGACAAAGGGGCTGAGATCCTGGCCCTGGAGAGAGCCCCCCGCACCCCCTCGCATCCCCCCCGACTCCCCCCCACCCTGCCCTCACACCCCTTCTACACTCCCCTTTCTGCCTCCCCCAGGTCCTGTGCACCCCTCCACACTTCCTCTACCCCCGACTCCTTCCTGTGCATCCTCCTCTCTCTTACCTGCAACCCCCCAGCTCTCCCCACCCTTTGTATCACTCCCCCATGAATCCTCTCCCATCTCCCCTCGCATCCTCATGCCCCAGATTCCTCCCCTTCATCTTCCCATGTCCCTAGTCCACCCCTCCTCCTCCTCCCTTGCTTTCCATCTCCCAAAACACACACACCCTGCTCTAGGTCTGAGAGGGGGGTGGATCAAAGGAACCTTCTCCAGGCTGAGCTGCCCCAGCCCCTTCTGGGTGTTGGGAGCATCCCTGCACCAGCCCCCACGCCACAGGAATACTCCTGGGAGGTGACATGGGCAGGGAATTGGAGACCAGCAGCAGAGAAGGGCCAAAGTCTTCCCTGCTGTGAGAAACCGAGGCACTGGGAATGTCTGGGTATCCAGGAGATCAGTGCCACCAGCTGCACAGCTGCCCCATGCTGTCACAGCTCCCCTTCCTGAGCACACAGGCTGGGCCTGGCTCCATCCCTGGCTACAGGGAATCCTCCGAGAGGAGATCCAAGCAGGGCTGAGATCCACAGAGCCACGGCCATGGTCAACCTTATAAGCATAAGGGTAAATTAACCACCCCAGTGTTGAGGGGCCCTTCGTGACACTTGCTCCCACGTGCCAAATCCCATAAGGGAGGCTGTAATGACAGTGACCACTGTGGCCAGGGGACCCAGAAAAGAGGAGGGACAGGGCTATGAAGGGATTCCAGCTCCCCACTCTACACAGAGTAGCCTTGAGGCTGCTCCTGCCTCACATCCTGTCAGCACTGTCAGCACTGGCTCGTGCTGGGGAACACTGGGAGAGCACTGGGTGTTTCCCCCAGACCCCTCCCCGAGCTTTCAGCCTTGCCAAAGAGCCTGTGCTCCCTTTCCCATCCCTCCTCCCCCTCTGCGGCCCCGATGGCTCCGGCCCAGGGCAAAACAATGTCCAAGGCTCCGTGCGGCCCCGTCCCTCAGCCAGCCCTTCGCCAAGTGGGAAATCCGGGGCAGAGTAACCTACTTTCTGCGCTCACAAGGAGCCTCTGTCCCAGCCAAGCAAGGTGGTGGGGACAGCACTGCCCTCCCGGGGCTCCGTGTCCCGGCGGGCCGGTGAGGGCACCGGGGGAGGCAGGTAAGGAGGCCCCCACAGGGCAGGATGCTCCTCAGCCTCGGCCAGACAGGGACATTGGGGTGCCTCAGGTGTGGCTGTGCTGTTCAGGGGACCCCAGGGGTTTGGCTTTGGTGGGTTTCTTGCTCACAGCCACCCCAGAGCAGCCTGGGGTGGAGGATGGAGACCCCAGAGAGGCAGGTTCCTGGGACAGCTGCAGGAGCTTTGTGGGGGAAATGCTTGGCCCCGGGGGGGGCTGTTTGGGGGGCCAATGCTTGGCCCCAAGGGGCTGTTTGTGGGAGCAATGTTCAGTTGTGGGAAGCTGTTTGTGGGGGTAATAGCCCCATGGGGCTGTTTGTGGGGGCGATGGATTCCTGGTCCCTGGGGTTGTTTATAGGGGTAATGCTGGGTCCTGGGGGGCTGTTTGTGGGGGTGATGCTTGACCCCAGGGGGCAGTCTGTGGGGAGCAATACTCGGGCCTGGGGGGCTGTTTGTGGGGGTGATGCTTGACCCCAGGGGTCAGTCTGTGGGGAGCAATACTCGGGCCTGGGGAGCTGTTTTTCAGGGTGATGCTCAGGCACGCTGTTGGTCCTCACAGCTCGCAGGAAAAATGCCATTTCTTTGCTCACCCCAAAGATTTCCCAGAAGTAGGAAGTGCCCAGGCATCTGGGCACCCCGTTTATGCCCTGCCACCCCGCTGGTCACCCGGCTGGAGGAGCGGGGCACCCCGAGTTCCCATCCCGGCTGCCTCCACCAGGCTTCGCTGCCGTCCCCGCGGGGGTGCGAGGCCGGGGAGGCGGGCGCAGGCACCCGCTGCCCCAACCTGCCGAGGCTCGTCCTCTTCCAGCAGGACTTTCAGGTTCCCGCAGTCCCGGCGGGGCCACGCGGGGCTGGGCTGGGCTACGGCGAGCCCAGCACGGGCCGGGCTGGTGGCCCCGCAGCGCGGCCACAACTTCAGCTGGACGTGGCATGGGCCCGCGGGGGTCCTGCGGCCGCAGCCCCCAGGGCTCAGGCTCCCCCCGGCTGCCGCTGCTCCAGGGGTGGAGGTGAGCGGCTCCGCTGGCGCCCACCGGAGAGGTAACGCTGCTCGCCGGGCACACACAGCGGCCACGAGCGAAGGGGGCCGGGGGGCTGCGAGGTTCTTGAGACGTGGCTCTTTCCCCACCGCTTCTGGCCCCAAGGGGGCTGCAGAAAGAGCTGCGGCGAGGAGGTACCCTGTGTACTCCCCGCTCCTTTTGGTGGACCCTCTGGCCAGTGATGGAGCTGGACAGGGGAGCCCCTGAGGGGGACGGGCACCGTGGGGCTCTGCGGGAGCGAAGGCCGGAGCATCCGGACACCCCTGGGCAGGAGCGCCGTGGGGCAAGGGGACATCTCTCTGGCTGTACTGGTGCTGCAGTGGGAAGTTCTCAGCCGTACTGGGGGGCCACTCGAGGCGCAGAGGTGCCCCCCCCCCCCCCCCACCATCCACCCCTTCTGTTCCGGGTGCTGCTTCCCCCGTCTTGTTTCCGCTGGTTTGAGGTGACGCGCAGCCCAGCAGCGCGTTCCCTCAGCCTCTCCCTCCCCGCAGGGATGGTGCTGGGACCCTCTCGGGGCACATCCCTGCCGCCCCCCGCCATGCCCGCCGCCCTCCGCCTGCTCTGCGGGGTGGTGGTGCCTGCTGCCCTGCTCTGCGCCGAGCCCCTGCCCCGCATCGCCTTCCCCAGCGGTGAGTGGGGCACCGGGGAGCGGGGGGGGAGAGCCGGGAGGGGCTGGCACAGCTGGGGAGGGGGGACACACACCACTGGCCCCGGAGAGTGTCCGTCCGCAGGGTTGAGTATCCAGCATCAGGAGCCGTGGGCTGCTCCCCATCGCAGCCTCATCACCCCTCTCCTCAGCCTCGCGTGGGGCCGGGGACTGTGCCAGTGGCCACGGGGGATGCAGTGGGTGAGGGGACCAGACGAGGCTGGTTGGCACCCCAGCAACTGTGGGAGCGGGAGCTGGGGACTCACCCCGGGGTGCCAGACCCAGCAGAGCCATTTTGTCACTCGCTTGGGCGCTCGGGGTCTGCTCAGGGTCACCCTGCGCAGAGGAAAAGGTGCCTCTGGAAGGGACAAGGCTCAGTGTGTCCAGCTGAAAGGCAGGTGGCCAAGCAGGGGTTTGGGGGGGTGGGGGTGTGGGGGGATGGCTGGGCAGCAGGAGGGTCTGTGCCCCATGGCGGGGCCGTGCCCTTCCAGCTGTCACTTCCCATTTCCCACGCAGCCATGACCAGAATTGCAAAACTCCCTCGTTCTGGTGCCTGGTGGGGGCAAATGAGAAGATGCAGTCCTTGTCTGTGCCTGGGGGCACCCAGGGGGCTTGTGACCCCAGCCCAAGCTGGCACCCCAGGACAGTGCATCCCCCAAATGGAGCACTGCCCCTTGGCCTTGGTCCCAAAGCATCACAGGCACAGCTTGGGGGTGAAAATGCCCCCCATTTCTGAGGTCTGGGACATCCAGCTCTTGCAGCAGGACCTGGAAGGAGCAGGGGGCAGTGGGGACCTGGACAGGGAAGCGGAGACTGTGATGTGGGAGCTGTGGGGCAAGCACTGCACCCCATTTCCTGCCTTTGGGGCAACACAGCCCATGGTGGCAGCTGCTACCACATCCGCCCGGGGGGGTGGTGTCTGTGGGAGGTGTGTGTGTGTCCCCTGGTCACCAGCACCCCCTTTGCTCCTGCCAGAGGACCCGCGACGGACCCTCACCCACTTCAGCCAGGACAACGTGTCTCACTACGACATCTTCCTCCTGGATGAGGGCGAGGAGGAGCTGTATGTGGGGGCGCGTGACCACGTGCTGGCCCTCGCCGTCGGCCCTGGCAGTGTCCATGCGAGAGCCTCGGTGAGCAGCTGCCACTTTTGGGGAAGTGGCGGGGGGTTCCCCTCCTCCCTCAGTTCCCCTCCTGGGGTCTGGGCTCAACAGCCCAGGACCATTTCCCTTCCCTTTGCAGATAGTGTGGGGACCCACGGCTGAGAAAACCTCTGAGTGTGCTTTTAAGAAGAAGAGCCAAGAGGTGAGATGGCCCTGGGGGGGGGGGGGGGGGGGGCTCAGGGGGTCCCACAGAGCTGCTGGGGTGCTCAGCCAGAGCTACTCTGCTCTTCCCCCCCTAGACCGAGTGCTTCAACTTCATCCGAGTCCTGGTGGCCCTGAACCAGACCCACCTCTACGTGTGTGGGACCTACGCCTTCAGCCCTGCGTGCACCTACATCGTGAGTGTCCCCCCAGGACAGGGCACGGGGGGCTCTCTGGGCAGGTTGTGGTGTTGCTGTGGGGACCCACAAAACACAGCCCCAGGAGTGAATTACACCACGAGGTGTCATCAGGATGGGGGGTGCTGGGTGTCCCCCCACAAGGGGCATCTTTGTGCTCCATAAAGGAGCACCCAGTGATTCTCACTCAGCTGCCAGTGACTCTTCCCCTGACAGGGAAACCCTGATTTTGGGTCCTAGTCCCCTCAGGTGACCCCAGGCTCCTCATCCCTGCCTCAGTTTCCTCCTTGCTGAGGATGTGATGGGGACCACCACTCCCCAGCAGGAAAGTGAGGAAAGGTGACAGGAGCTGGGTACCCCCCGTTGGCCCCCCATCATCATCCCTGCACACACCTTGAAGACACAGGCCACCCCATGTCTGCAAGGGATTCCACATCCATTGCCTGAAGATTTGGGGTTATTCTCGCTCCTTTGGCTGATTTTTCTCCCCTTCCCACAGCACCTGGAGAACTTCACGCTGGTGCCCAGCGGCAGAGGACAACCCTTCCTGGACGGGAAGGGCCAGTGCCCCTTCGACCCCCAGCACAACTACACGGCCCTGCTGGTGGGTGAGTACGGGGCCAGTGGCCCCACGGGTGGGCTCCCACCCCGGGATGGAGCAGAGGGTGAGGGTGTCCCCAGCGTGGCTCACCCCCCTGCCCTGTCCCCGAGCAGATGGTGAGCTCTACGCTGGCACCATGAACAACTTCCAGGGCAACGAGCCCATCATCTCCCGCTCGCTGGGCACCCGCACCCTGCTCAAGACAGACGCCTTCCTGCGCTGGCTCTCGGGTGAGCAGAGGGACGGTCCTGGGAAGGACACCCCTGTGCCAGGGGTGCCTGCAGCCCCCTCAGCCCTAGCTCCTCACCCACCTGCCCTGGCTGTGCCCATAGACGACGCTGCCTTCGTGGCCTCCTTCAGCATCCCTGGGGACGACAAGGTCTACTTCTTCTTTGAGGAGACGGCCGAAGAGTTCGACTTCTTCGAGCGGCTCCTGGTGCCGAGGGTGGCCCGTGTCTGCAAGGTGTGACAGCAGGGGACGGTGGCAGAGGACAATGGGGACAGAGAGATGGGGGATGGTTATGTTGGGGGAAAATGGCAGGGGACAATGATGAGGGGTGATGGTGGTGAACGATAGGGGACAATGACAAGGGACAATGATGAGGGGTGATGGTGGGGAGCGATGGGGGCACAGTGATGGGCATGATGACAGGAGACAATGGCATGGACAGTGATGGAGATGATGATGACGATGGGGGACAATCGTTAGACAGTGATGGGAGATCATAATGATGACAAGGAACCATGGAGGGTACAGTGATGGGGGATGATGACAAGGGATGAAGACAGCAGACAGTGATGGGGGACGATGACAGGGGATAAATGGGGGTGCCCAACTCCCATTGCTGAGCACCCTCTGACCCCCACAGAGTGATGTGGGGGGGGAAAAGGTGCTGCAGAAGAAGTGGACGACGTTCCTGAAGGCGCAGCTCGTGTGCTCCCAGCCCGGCCACTTCCCCTTCAACGTCATCCACCACGCCTTCGCCCTGCCCCGCCCTGGCGGCCGCGCCGACTTCTACGCCGTCTTCACCTCGCAGTGGTGAGTGCCCAGGGGTGTGACGGGTGCCCGGGCTCCTGCACCCTCCTGGTGCCCACCTGGATGTCCCCACAGGCAGGCGGGCGGGGAGGGCAGCGCCGCCGTCTGTGCCTACAGCCAGGAGGATCTGGAGAAGGTCTTCGAGGGCAAGTACAAGGAGCTGAACAAGGAGAGCTCCCGCTGGACTGTCTACAGCGGCCCTGACATGAGCCCCCGGCCTGGCAGCGTGAGTGCTGCCCACCCCGGCGGGCCAGACCCTCCCAGGGACAATGCTGGTCCCCAGGGGAAGGGGTTTGTCTGTCCCAGTTTGCCCAGTGTGCTCGCACTGCAAGCAGGATGGGAAAGGAGGAGAGTCCCTCTGCCCCCCACTGATGCTGGCACGGGGCGGTGTGGTGACACAGCGCACCCTCCCCTCCCGTGCCTCAGTTTCCCCTCGGTTTCAGAGCACCGACCCCTCTCTCCCTGCAGTGCTCCGTGGCTCCCTCCTCAGACAAAGCCCTCACCTTCATGAAAGACCATTTCCTGATGGATGAGAAGGTGTCACCCATCCAGGGGAGGCCGCTGCTGGTGAAGTCAGACGTCACCTACACGCGCATCGCTGTGGATGAGACTCGTGGCGTCTCAGGCACCACCTACCGCGTCCTGTTCCTGGCCACGGGTGGGTTCATGGTGGGGGGTGCACACAGGGCCACCCCCTGACCCTTCCCTTGGCCCCAAAGCCCTGGTGATGTCTCCTGTGCCCCACAGCCAAGGGTTACCTGCACAAGGCGGTGGAGCTGCCTGAGGGTCCCCACATCGTGGAGAGCATCCAGCTCTTCCAGACGCCGGAGCCGGTGAAGAACCTGCTGCTGTCCCCGGGGAAGGTAAGGAGTGGGAGCACCCAACAGCCACCCCAACCCTGGCGTGGGGGCTGGGGGGTGGCTCAGCCACACACCTCTGTCTCCACAGGGCACCCTCTACGTGGGCTACTCCGGAGGAGTCCTCCAGGTCCCACTGGCCAACTGCAGCCTGCACCGGAGCTGCGCCGAGTGCGTGCTGGCACGGGACCCCTACTGCGCCTGGCACAGCCCCCAGGGCTCCTGCCAGCCCACCCCCAGGGCCACTGAGGACAGGTGAGCGCCAGGATGAGGATGGGAAGGGGGTTGCGGAGGGGACTGGGATGCTGACCCCGCTCTCCCGGCTGCAGGAGCGCGTGGCTGCAGGACATCGAGACGGGGAGCCCGGCAGCCACCTGCCACCGAGGGAGGAGCGTGGCCATGCCCCGGGCCTGGGGGGGGCCAGAGGATCCCACCGTGCAGGGTTGAGTATGGGAGCGTGGCAGGGTGGGGCACATGGGGTGGGAGGGGACACAGAATGGGGTGGGGCACACAGGGTGGGATGGGGGCATTGGGGCAGGATGGGGCACATGGGGTTGGGATGGGGCACACAGGGTGGGATGGGACACACAGGGTAGGATGGGGCACACAGGGTGGGATGGGACACACGGGGTGGGATGGGGCACAGGGGTTTGGGATGGGGCACATGGGTTGGGATGGGGCACATGGGGTTGGGATGGGGCACACGGGATGGGATGAGGCCCACAGAGTGGGATGGGGCACATGGAGTGGGATGGGGCACACAAAGTGCTTTGCCTCATCCCACTTTTCAACACCCACAGTGCTCAACCCCCAGCCCAACGCTATCGTCCACCTGCCGTGCCCCTGCCACTCTGCACTGGCCACCTACAGCTGGCAGCAGCCCAGCAGTGCCCGGGAGGACGCGGTGCTGCTGCCGAACCACACGCTGGTGGTCATCATGCAGCCGGAGACCGCCGGCGTCTACAAGTGCCAGGCCACGGAGAACGGCTACACCTGGACCGTGGCTCACTATCAGCTCCGGGGCTCTGCCGGGGCGGCCCTGGGGGACGGGTTGGACGAGGAGGAGCTGGCCTGGGGGTCCTCGGCCGTCGGCACCCCCGGCTCGTACTGGTCGCAGTTTGTGACGGTGACGGTGCTGCTGGTGGTGACGGTGACCGTGGCCGCCTGCCTGGTCCTGCTCGCCTACCGCGACCAGCTGAGGGCCCGCAGCAAGGTCCGGGGCTGCAGCGCTCCCCACAGCCCCCCGGCCCGCCACCGGGAGAAGGTGCCCCTCAACGGGGGCACCGGAGAGCCCCCGGTGCCCGGAGCGGCCGCTGAGGAGGAGGAGGAGGATGAAGGTTCCCAGGCTTGCTGCCTCCAGCTCGATGGGGACATCGACGTGGACAACAACCGGCTCCACGTGCCGGGGCAGGGCGCGGCGTGACACTGCCAGGGGACACGCTGGGGAGGGTGGGAGGGAGGGGGTGTGA